CTCTAAATTCAAAAATTTTCCTGGGGGGCATGCCCCCGGACCCCCCTAGACAAACTTCGCACCTGCGGCGCTCGGCTCGTGCCTTCGGCCCTCGTTTATCAAGGGTAATATTATAGGGGCGCATATTAGTTGCCAGCCGACTGGCCTCCCCAGAAAAATAGTACCCAGCACGCCACTGGCACACGACATACTCCAACTTGGTCAAGGATACTTTTAGTGTGGATATGCCATGCACTTGGTCACTCACACGCGACTGCGACTGCCATATCGTTCCTAAACTTCATTATGTATATATATTTACTGTAATTAGATTATTTTTTTTTCTTTTTGTTATCTATAGTCATACTTTTATTTAGGGGTTGTGCCTTGCATGGGTCTCGTTTTCCCGTTTGCACTAACCCCATTGGACGTTCACCTTGTAATCTATAATTTTTATGTTCAGTAAAGCTGATAAAATAAAATAAAACTAAAAATACAGCCGAAGGCGAGTAATTGTATATTTTATACAAGACAGGTGCAAAATGAAAACGGAAAGAAATTGAACAGGAGCCAGTGGAATGTGAATGACTGACTCACATATGATATATACTATATTACAGGCGACTATAGTCCTTCTCCAAGCTCTCTGATTGGTCAGTTATTGATGAAGTTAGGCATCAGCGTGCGTCAATTGGCCAAAGACAAAGAAGAAGACTTAAGAAAGCTCTACTCATGTTGGTGGTCCAAACCATTGCCAGAACATCTCAGTTTTAGAAAAATACTCTGTTTTGAAGGAGGGTAAGATATGTGGCGGAGTATTCCAGTCAGTTTTATGTCTCACTGCCATTGCGGAATAACAACAAAGCCACAGATTTATTTAGAAAGCTTCGGATTGACAGGGATGCAACTACAAACCTGAAAAAAAATGAGGACCAAGGGCCTTCGCTCGAAACGTCGAAGTTCTCCTTGTATTTTTCAGGTAGTTGCATCCCCATCAATTCGAAGCTTTCGTATTATTGGCACTACTAGTACTTACACAGACCGTTCAAGACACAGATTAATGTACTCAGTATGTATCACATTGCACACTGCACGAATCAGGTGAAAGGTGTTTTGCTCTACTTCTATTCGGGAACGATACCGCGCGCTTCACTTCCACTATTATAATATGTACTAGATAAAACATGAGCAGCCCATCTGTATCTGATATACAAACTTGAGCCGAAGGCGAGAGTTTGTATATCAGATACAGATCGGATGAGAATGTTTTATCGTACTTAAAAAATGACCCATCTTATGAGTTCATTGGCGAAGTAATTTTAAAAATAAACATTGTCTAAGCCGAGAAAATCAAAGCTGAAGTTTATGTAAATCAGGACAAATCTTTATCCGATTTACAAACATTGATTAAACATTAATTTCTTTTGTATTTTCCTCGTGAATTATTAATGAATTTTTTAATTAATATTGTTATAAAATGTTTGAATTTTTATTATGTTTATATTGGGTCATAACCTCTAAATTGATAGCAATGCAAATTGCCAGAAAATAGAAACCGGTTTTGAATACGTCATACTACGCAACTATGGGTAGTTGAAGGGTAGTAGCCAAAAATTGGTTCATAGTTTTCATACAGTAAGTACTGTTTAATAAACGAGCAAGAGTGTTTTATTAGGTTTAGAGCCACGAACGCGCAGCGCGAGTGGCTTTAGATCTAATAAAACACGACCTGCGAGTTTATTAAACAGCTTCAAACACGACTACAAATTCAATAGATATACTGCCTTATTAGTATTCTTTATATAAAGAATACTAATGAGGACACGACTACAATAGATACTGCCTTATTAGTATTCTTTATATAAAGAATACTAATTAGGAGTGTTTTATCAGGTTTAAAGCCATTGCACGTGACATATGGTCGACATGATTTGCCAATAAGCTTATGAATTATTAATGAGTGTTTGAACTTTGTTTAATTAAGTGGACGATCTAACAGAAGTGTTGGTCAAGTTGTTGGAGATGTATTCAGATGTTTGGTTCCAATTCTGGCAAACAACGAAGGGAAAGTTATTATGCCTATCCTTGCATCAGGAGATCAGGTTTTATAAATATACTATAATATTACTGGAGGATTAGTTACAGTATGAACCATGAAATTACAAAAATAGTGCGAGAAAGACTCAGAATTTCCATCTTAAAAATTCCATCTTAAAGTTCAAGATTGGAGAAACAATTTATACTCCTACAATTCAATAGAGACGTTACGATGTAGGACGGCAACGCAACGACGCAAATTTCGAAACCGTCGACGGTCGAGCCCGTCGAGCACATCATTGATGGTCGAGCACATCATTGATGGTCGAGCACATCATTGATGGTCGAGCACATCATTGATGGTCGAACACATAATTAATTTCGTTCCAATATGGCGGTTGCGGTAATTAGCGCGTGGAACCATTTACTGACATCTTATACCAAATCGATGCCAGTCAAAGCCTTAGCATGGCAAAGCAGCCAATTTGGTTTACTGGTTATTATGCCTTCCACAAAATTGTTGCAGTAAATATCTTTTAAATTTATCATTTTATCAAAATTCGACCAGTCCTCAGTAAGTTCTTGTGAAGTAAAATATGGACAACCATCTCAGAACGAGATACTAGGGGTGCACCGGAACCAATTTGTTACGTTCCAGCCGGAACCGGATCTGGCCAGAACTGGAAAGAAGTTCCGGCCGGAACCGGAACTGATTTAGTGAGCCATATATAGTCATATGTTACTTTGTCTGCTGCCAGACAGACAGACAGACAGACAGACAGACAGACAGACAGACAGACAGACAGACAGACAGACAGACAGACAGACAGACAGACAGACAGACAGACAGACAGACAGACAGACAGACAATTCATGTCATCAAGGTATTTCTTCTCACTGCAGTGCTCTCACTTTTAAGGAATTATCCTTAAAAATAGGAATTTTGAAGAGTTTTAAGGATTTTTTTAAGGAATTTAGGTTTTTGAGGATTTGTTTAAGGAATTTCCAAAACATTTTATCCTGGACTAAAAACGTTTTGACGGAGAATAACCACGCCACGCAAATGAGATTTAAACTTGAAAGTAGCAACATTATGTGCACATAATTACATATATTCGTATGTTCTCTATGTTGTAAATGTACATAGCCATGTCTTTCCATTAAAATTCTCAAAAGTTAAATGTCAGTGTATGCTGTTTCTTCTGAAATCTACAGATTTTCTAAGTTCTCAGGGCCCTAGCGACCGGGGGAGGGGGGAGGGAGGGTGCAACACCCCTAATATTGCTCATGAACAATTTCAGGTAGATATCCTGTAGATTTTCAGGTAAATTCAGGTAATTCTCAGGGCATAAAAAAGTGAACTCTCTAATCTGAATTGGAGTTAACAATCAAACAAACTAAAGACGTTGAGACGTGTTGTGGCAGGGAGACAATTGCAAAATACCCTTTCAGACGATCTG